TATTTGTTAAAATTATCCTAAAAAATGCTTCATTGTTCATGGGAAAGTATTTAGAGAATCCACGAATAATGTGCCAAAAGCACATACATTTTAATCAAATTTGATGAAGATGAAGGATGATAACGATAAAATAAAGAATATTCTTTATGTGATTTTTATATTTATATGCCTACATTATAGCAATGATAATTTTGGAGCAAATAGTACTTAAAAACAACTTACTTTATTATGTCGTTCGAACATTCGGTATACAGGTTGATTCAAAATTGACATTATTGCTCTGGTGGTGTTTAGGGCGTACAGAAAATATAGTAAAACATTTCAAAAACTGAGAAAATTGCAAAATACTAGCTGCCTCATTAACATTACGTAAATACTTGTTGCTTCTTAAATATCAAAAACTCACGTTAAGTGAAGAAAAAGAAAGTCAGTAACTTACAAATAAGGAAAACAATTTGGAGATTGCCTTATTGTTATTATTATTATTATTATTGGATTATTATTCTTCACTTTTTCGATATCATTCAGGACTTAATAAAATTACCGTGAAATATATGTGCTTATCATTCGTGGATTCTCGAGAAAAAAACAGAGTGCGTCAACTATGTATCATTGTAAATATTTTTTAAATTTGCGCATTTAGTACCTTTACAAGATGACAATGATAACTTTTAAACAAATAGTACTGGTTAAACTTACAAAATGCGGCTGTTGTTGGGACACCCTGTGCATGCGAAAATCACTGCAGTCATAACATGCCAGAAAAAGTAAAGAATTATCTGCATTGTAAAGTACTGAAATTGAAACAATTTTATCAAATATATTCGGCTTTCGCGTCAATTATTTGAGAATGTTTTTCTCGAATCTAAGGGGTGGTTGTTGAAACGTACACTGAATTAAATTATTAATTTTTAGCGTTTTATATTGATTATAATTATTATTATTGTGTCGAGTTTTGGTAGAGTTAAATTTTGAATGTAAAACGTTTACATTTTTCTATAAATTGACTTTTCCCACATCAGTTCATGAAGCCTTATCAGCTCTCATAACGAATGAACAACATGTTTTAAATTTTATCAATTTGCACTGAATTTTTGAAAAAAACAACTGTTTTTCGGGAACAGGCTGCTGAAAATTGAGAAATAATTAATAAAATTTAAATTTTCCACTTTTTTATGTTGCGTGCAAAATAACAGTTGTTTCTAAATGCAAAACTATAGACCTCCAGGGTTGTTAGAGGGAATTTTTCCAAAAGTAAGGGCTCAACCGGGATTTGAACCCGGGACCTCTCGCACCCAAAGCGAGAATCATACCCCTAGACCATTGAGCCGCATATTTGTTAATAACAATTTTTTAAACAAAACACGTTCACTTTATCAACACACGTTGCAATCATTCAAGCACATGCCACTTCACCTCGAGCATGGACTAGCGCTCCTGCTGCGTTCGTTCAACATAAACAACAGATTGTAAGTCGCATTTGTTAAACTATTAGTTAGAAACAGTCATCAAGAATTATTGTATTGGTTAAACAAAGAATTGCGTTTATGAGGCCCTGAAGCACATGCACAAAGGGAGCATATCGTTAGAAAGAATTGAAATAACAATAATAATAAGTCAAATTGATGATTTCGAACCTCCAATTAACTGCACCGCTGTTGTGTTTTTATCAGTTTGTTTTGCATCATCTAATAAATAATTTTCTAATTAAACCAATTGATAAATTTACATCAAATGAACAATTGTTTAGTGGAGATTTTTAACGGAGAATATTAAAAAGACATACACGTTGCGAATTTATATTTTCATAAAAGGTTTGCTGAAAATAAAAATAAATTAAAGTATCAATTGTGTTTTGAAGAATGGCAAATATTACATCGGAAGAAATAAAGTAAAACCAATTCACTTAATAATGATTAGCAGGATATTAAGCAGTCAAGATCAAGATGTACATTCATTTAGTCTTAGACCAGAAGCTTTGGTTGCTCCAAAACTTATTGTTTCTTCAGATGAAAATGATCTATATTTCCGTATCCGATGAAAATGATCCATCCATTCGTGTAATGTACAGAACAACAGTAAAGAACAATATGACCATTTTTATTTTAAAATCCTATTGAATTTTTATACCAAATGTAGGTAGGTACTTACTACAAGTATAAGCTATGCATTAGTAATAAAGCTCTAAGGATTTGGGTGATTCTTATTGCATTTTTTTCAGAAATGTCTCCAACGAGCATATTACTTATTCAAACAGACCGGATTGAGATTCAGTGAAACCGTAAATATGAGTAGAAATATGTTTCGCAGCTTTCCAGGATTTGAATTGAAACAAAACTGTGCTGTTTCATCAATGTTTTAGATTTCCTGCAATCGCGAAACAATATTTTGTCGATTATTTCAAGTTTCTTCTTTCGTTCAGTAGCCGCACATCAATAAATATCTCATTACCCAGCTTAGTTACAAATGTAGAAAACATTGCACAGAAAGCTACGCTCTAATTTTGCAAGATATTATTAATTATCATCATTAAAATTAAATCTGCCGTTAAGAAGTTTCACTCCTTTGGACTTCTGAATATATTTACCAAGTTTCGATACTTTCAGAGCTCGAGTTTCGAAATTATGGAAATTTTGCAAACCTTCCCTAAACCTTGTCTGGGGTCCCAAAATGCAAATTGCTCAAAAACGGTATGAATTTACTGTAATAAACTGTAAATAAGGCAGATAAATAGTGTTTAATTTCAAATGAAAGGCTTTTTTCGGTACAATGGGCAACAATGCTTTGTTGAAAGTAATTGAGATGGACAGAGCAAGGTGGTGCATTCAAAGAACCTACAATACATGTATTTTTATTTGCTAGTTTTTTATTGCAAGTGAAAAGCATCAGCCGGGTTTAGCCTGAAAGTATTGCTCACGAAACATGTACTTTATTTTGCCCATGTATTTTACATCGGAAATCTTTCAGGAGTGTTATTTTCAGACGTAACCGGGTTGATGAGAGCTAGTAGTCTCGAAATCGGTTGTGAGGTGTCTGAGATTTACACAACTGGAAATCGTTTGGGTACAGATTATATCAGTAACCTGTGACGGTTTGATGATACCGAAAGTTTCATTTTCTCTTAACTGGAAAGGTTTGGTGAAATATTCTGTCGGAATTTCGTAAATTAAATCCAGCCTTGCTTCCTTATGGGATTTTCTAAAATTATTTTTCCCTTAGTGTTTTGGCTCTCAGATTGAATTATAGGTATCCATAACAAAAATGTTTACAAATGTACAACTTATGGTATTCTTATTATCTTAAAAATTGTTGAAGAAATGAAAGACGGTTTTCTAAATCTTAATTTAAGTGCGAAGCCTATTATCTTTTTAAGACATTTTTACAGTCGATAGCTCCAAATTCAGTCGCTCTTTTAATAGATAAATGTGCATGCTTTTCCTTGACTTGAACTTTAATGTGAACGTTTCATAAATGCGGACAGACATAAATGTTGCTTTGTTGAACAATTACCGAACTGTATATGGAACAAGTAATGTGCAATTATTAAAAGTTTAGGTATTGTAACAGAACCTTCAACGCGATGATTTTTAATTAAATACCATTAAAATGTCGCGCTCTCTATTATTGAAATTTTATGGCCATAATTCCGCGTTAGTCTAGCAAAACACATTATAAATATCTATTTGTGTTACTAGTGTATCGAGCAAAGAAATTTGGTTGTTTTGTTCTGAATATCAATTAACTACAATAACAAAATGTTATTCTGGTGCAATCAGCTAATAAAAAGCAAAATACGAGGTCACTAATTTATAGTCTCTGTTTTGAAATGCAACATAATTTCATTATGCTTACCTGTAAATGAAACGAAATTGGCATAGTTTGTTAGTACCATTACTGCCGATAATAATAGTAAAAAAAAACACAAAGAACTGTTGATCCGTGATATTTGGGCCAATGCTAAATGTCTAGGGAAAGAAGTGAAAGAATAATAGCAAACATGTTTGCAAAATGCAAAATGAGTTCCGTTATTTTATGAATATGCATCTGTGGCAATAAGTGATGTCTGGTTCTTCTCGCGGATAAAAAAGGTCTTTAACCGATCTATGCAGTTCATACTTAATTGATTATAAATTGAAATGTAAACATAATAAAGTGCTTGTTGAACTGTCAAGGTCAATGTTCGTCGGAATAAATTAAACAACGTATCTGAATTCATCCAACAAAGGAATGGCGATGTAAATTATAGAAATAAGCATAAATAAAGGGGCTATTTATCAGTGATAATTAAGGACGACGTTTTTCCGAAGGAATGAGATTATGCTGTTATACGTAGGTTTGTCCCGTTATTTTGGCAAAACAAACATGAACCAAAATAATGTTATGCAAGCAACTGCAACCAAACTGTAAACTTTGTGAAACTGGTGACTTTTTCGAGTTGTTACGCCGTCGTAAAATATAATTTCTTCCTGACGTTTCACAAGCACGAGTGGCTTGCACCTTCAGAGGTGGTTTGCTTGAAAGCTTACTCTGTACTAGGCTAGGCCTGGGTAACACTGTGTTGTGTGCAGCTTTTGCGTAGGTGCCGCTCTGTGCGCCAATGCGTTATAACACCTCGCGTCTAACGGACCAACACCTTGAATAACATTTAAATTTAATCCACACAATTATTTGATTGTATTATGAGTTTACTGCATCATAAAAAGCGTTGACACGTTGTATTGACGCGACAAGTCGTATTGGGATTAGTGCGTCAACAGCTGAAAATCCATTGTGTTACCCAGGCCTACACTGTACTGGTTGGTTTCAAGCTAACCGCCTCTGAAGATGCAAGCCATTCGTGCTTGCGAAACGTCGGGAAATCTATTTTACGCCGGCCTAAAAACCCAAAAAACTCACCAGTTTCAAAGAATGACCTCAAAAGCCTATCTTTACTGATATAAAATTTAATCTTTTTTTATTTTTATTACAATTTTTTAATTTGAATTTTGTGTTTGTTCCAGGTGTGACGGGTCCGCATGGCACGTGCCAGAGCGCCGTCCGCCATCACCCGCCGCCATGGTCAAGACGTTTCAGGCCTATTTGCCTCCTCAGTGTCATCGCACGTATTCGTGCATTCACTGTCGGGCCCATCTCGCCAATCACGATGAACTTATCTCAAAGGTAACGCCTCCAAACGTCGATTTTTCTAAAACATTTTTCTACCAAAAAACTTGCTGGTATGTTTCTCATTAAATATGAATTTAACGTTAATTACTGTTTCAATTGTATAACATTTTGCTGATTGTTTTGAGTTAATTAGAGTGCCAAAAAAACACAGATTTATATTTGTTTTAATTGTGTGCTTATTGCTTCTGACATACAGTGTGTTTCTAAATATATTGTGTTCAGAAAGGGTTTTTTTTAATTTATATTATTATGAACATTTACATAAAAATCGGTGTACAGAATCTTGCTTTCGATTTACGACAGATTAAAGTTTCGGGGTGTTCTTCGTTTTTTTTATATAATTCCTGCTGTAATACATCTACATTTATTTAATCGATTTATTTCTAAAAAGCGTTTTATTTTATTTCAAAAACAACACAAAAGAACAACAAAGTATCTAAACAATTATAAAACAGTAAAGTGGTACAAAAGAATCTGCTAGGACCACTTTGAGGAAAATATCAAGTGCGAAAGTAGCGCATGGTTTCTATTAAATCACCCTGTAAAATCACAACCATAACTTTTTTTGAATAACCCATCAGCTAGAAATGAAGTAATTATTTCAAAAACTACCCGACATAAAGAAAAAATATATATTTCAATTTCAGCACATTATATGGTCGTTATATTATATCGGTCGAAGTTACGAAATTAGCACCCTTTCAAAATCTTTATTTTTTGTTCAATTTCATTATTTTCTTTTGTTAGTTAAATATTCAAAATGCGCATTCGATTATTGAGTGCCGTCAAAACTCACTTATAATCACTACTAACTTTATGTTGTAAAATTTTAAAAAGTACCATTAAGTAAAATGTTAAGAAAAAATGAGAACCGAGTCTTGCTTAGAATCCATTTTCTTTGTTGGGTGATACGTAAAAATCGATGAGACAATTTCATATAAAAATTACAGTTTGGAATATCTTCATAAAAATTAATCGTCACCAACTCATTTTATTGACCATCTCTGAAAACAGAAAATATCTGAATCTGCCGACTGTCCTTACTGAAAATGCAAAATTTAATTACTCTTGTTATAAAACTTTCTTAATTACTAATGCTTATTAAACGGATAATTACAACTTTGCTTCTTATTAAACTGAAATAAAATATTTTTTTAGCGATACTAAATAGAAAACGTTCAATCACTTTTGTTTTAAAAATATCCCGTGATTAATATTTCATCATTATTATGTTCATTTTTCGATATTGCAGAACAATAAAAATCTCTGGAGGCAGATTTTAGGCCATTTGAAACTAGGTTACCATTTTCTTCAGTACTTTTTAGAATTTATCATCTAATCTTACATTGAAAACACTCACTAGTCGGATGCACATTTTGTATATCTAAAAAAAAAGAATTATTGAATTGACCAAAAAATTTATATTTTACTAAGATGATAAGTTCTTAACCCGGACACACACTAAATCGAAAACCAAAAGCTGTGGACTTTTATGTTTTATTTCGTTATATCATGAGTTAATAATTGCTCCCTTCTGATTGTACTTGGTATTTAGGAACATGCTGAATAAGTATATTATGGAAAACAATTATTAGTTCGCTACAAGCATTTTACACTCTTAATTATACGTAAAAACGTATTCGTAAAAATCATCTATTGGGAAAAAGAAATCTTTAACTTAATTTATGACGAACATTCATATAAAAAGGGTCGACAGTTTCTTAGTTGCTGCTTTATAATTCCTGCTGTTTTTCGAGATTTAGGTCAAATAAACATAAGCAAGCGCCAGTTACGATTTAAAATGTAAATTGGCAGGATTACTAAAAGCCAAAACAATACAGTTTAGCAAATGATGGATTTGCAAGCTCGGTCCGGCTGATGAGAACTAATAGGACTGAAACCGGTCCTGGAATTGCTAGCTTATTATTGCAAAAAAATATATTTTTATAATCGACCGACAGTAAGGTCATTATAATTGATTTTTCGTTTTTCGAAAAAAATATCGCTACAAGCACTTGCTTTGGAAGAAAGCTGCGAATTAATCCAAATTCTGTTAGTAATACCGAATTAATCAGAGGTTGTTGATGGATAAGTTGGCTGGCAAACATCGAACATAGTTTTAAGTAGCATAGAAAACTCGATTACAGTTATTATTTTGTGCGCTTAAAATATTAGAAACAGTCTAGTAGATTAACATCCTAATTTTAACCCAGAATCCTTAAAGCAGTGATTTTACCATAACTTGTTAATCAAGCCTTGCCAAAGTCATACACAAAAAAATCGTAAAATAATGCAGAAATAGCACAAATTTGCAACCAAACAGTTATTACCAAATACACGCAATAAATATACACAAAGACACCGCCACGAGTTTTGTGGTTTCATTATTTTTACTTCTTGATATTTTATTATAAATTTTATATGGGCATCCTGACTGCCAAGTTAGAAAAGATCGCAAAATTTCGCGAGAAGTTTCCAATATAAAAACATAAACCTCATATGGGTCAACTAATAATTTGATAATTTTTTGTTCACTTTGCCTGGCCTCTTAAGAAAATATCTTATAATATATTTATGAAATATATTTTTTAAATGTACCTCCATCAATAGCCATTGCATTATCACCTTTCAAGCACCCATTCAAAGCATGTTTCGTGTTTGGGCAGAAATTCGTTTTTTGGTACTACAAATACAATAATTTGATACTACTTGTTTTAAGCGGTTTTTAACTCGTTTTTAGTGTAACTTTTTTCTTATGGACGATATCGCACAATAAACACAGTGGTTAATAATTATCTAAGAAAAAGCAGACTTGGGTTGGAATCTACCTGCATATGTGCAAAATCGTTTTTCTAGGACAAAGATTGTGTAAAAAGTTGTTTCCACTATAAACAGGCAATCGATTGAAAAAAAGGAGGAAGAACGATGAAGATTGTAGTATGAACTCGCCTTAACCATATAGTACTTCCGTATAAAGCTTCAAGTAATTTTTTTTATAATAGGGCAAAATACGGAACAGTTAAGTTTTCACGTGTTGTATAAAAAAAACTCATAAAATGTGCACAAATCTAATTAAAAAATGTGTTTAGAAACTGTATCTCGTATTTTGAACCAAGCAATATATTTTTAACATTTTATGTTAGGTTCGTTTTTTAAAACAAATTCAGAACTAACAAGAAACGTTTTAAGCCCGGGCTTATCATTTTTTTATCTCACATCCTTCTTACAATGTGTTCAAGCATGCAACCAAAAGTTCTTTCCAAATGCAGCTTTTCAACCGAATTGGTACTCACTGTTATTTTTGTTCAAAATTGGACACATTTGCCTTATAAAGACAATGTTTATATACAGGGTGATTCACAATCTTATGGACACACAGCAGGGGCGTGTACAGGACCTCAAAACAAGCCAAGTTTACATTTAAGTTTTTTTCCTCAGACCCATGATTATCGAGATACAGGGTGTTAAAGTTTGAAAAAAAGGGTGTAAACATTAACCTACGTTACAAATTTGAGCAAAATACCTCGTAAACTGTAGGAGCTAAAGAGAAAGTACCAAAATTTGTTTGAACCTTTAACACCCTGTATCTTGTTAACCATGGGCTTGAGAAAAAAGACTAAATGGAAACTCGATTTGTTTTGAGGTCCTCTACACGCCCCTGCTCTGTGTCCATAAGGTTGTGAATCACCCTGTATATTTACAGAGTGTTTCAGACAGCGTAGGTAATTAAATTTTCATTATTGGATCTATTTTGGAATAGTTGTACGCCGCAACTGGTTCCAAGCTGAGTAAATCCGCGTATTAACTACAATAGAATGGAATTGAATAAAAATAATTACGCTTTCATTACACGTCCCATATAAGATTGATTTAAATAATGTTATCATCGGGGATGATCGACAAGTTTTAATTAACGTCTGGCTTTAAACTGATTACTTCCGTTATATCACACGCACACACACATATAAACAAAAAAGTATCTATTCTAAATCTACATCTGTATATTATTAGACTCCTGACCTACTTGATATGAATACGCAATATAAACAGGTTTTTACCTGGGCGACAATTGAATAAAATAAACCATTTATGTTTGACTGTTTGGATGGATGTATTTTGGCATCAATTTGCAACTTTTGGTTTAAACAATAATTACTGTTATTATCGGCTCAATAATCCCTAGGCCTAGGGGTTCAAATCCGGGTTGACCCTACACCCGATTTTTTCCCTGTATTAATTTTTTTCTGGGATATCAATAGCACGTAATGTGAGATTTAGGTCGGATTTTTAGCATCGATTAGTGCTATAGCAGCGTTGGAATCCATAATTGCATGCAGTAGAAAAGCAGGCAGTTAAGAATATAATTACTATTTACGAGACGTAACCCAACCAAACCTGTGCCTTAAAACCATAGCTGCTTTAATTATAATTATACCTGGCATGTTTATTCTGGTTTTATATGGACTTCCTTTAATTCGTCCTGTCATTATTTCGATATCCTCACATGTATTTTGGTAAAGAAGTAAATCGAAATTTCTGTAAGGAGTTTTACTAAAAAGTTGCCATTTCTTTATTTCTCTACCGTGCATGATACTCCTTAGTGCAAAAAAAAGCTCAGAACTTCAATACTTATTTGATGATAGTTTGTATCACGGCAGATGTGTGTATAAATTCAAAGTTGAAGTTACGATTGATGGTTTGAGGCTTTTATCCGTTGCGAAACAAAAAATCCGTAGAAAGCTGCAAGAGTAATCGGAAATCTTATAAAGCTTAGTTGTGTTGCGAATGTAAATAATATGTCTCATTACTGATTGTCTTAACTCATGTTTTGGTAACTATTTTAACTAAAATAATATTGTGATATCAGAAAAGTCTTTAGAAAAACCTCAATAAAGGCATGAGAGATACCACGATGTTGAGGAATTTATTGTCATAGGAACGGTATAAGTCTCAACAATCGGGTTTTGCACTAATTCATTTCCCTGGGAGAAATTTGAGCAGCAAATGAGATAAAACTGAAAATATCGCCGCAATACAAACGAAGAACTCACGAGATTGAACGTGTTATTTGAACAGGAAAACAAGCAGCGAGATATTCGGAATTTGGATCAATAAGCATTTGTGCATGTTTACAAACAGAAATTTAAAGGTAATGCCAGTTGCTAAAGACAGTTTTGAATGAGAAACACGAAATAATTAACAAATTTTCCAATAAAATGATTGAGCAGGACGAATGCATTTTAATTGAGTTATTAAAATTTAGCTAAAATTACAGTATGCACAACTACATCTGGCCATATAGAGCTTTATTTGAGGACAAGAAAAAAAAAGAAAATTATTGGAACGAACGCAAGCGTAAAAAGTAAAAACAAAAAGTTGCTAACCAAAGAATTTTGTAGACATATTTTATTTATACGACAACAAAGAAAATAAAGTAGAATCTGCAATATACACACCATTTCATAATTCTGAAACCATCAAACGGAAAATGTTATGGCATTAATATGTAATAATAATAGCAGTAATAAATGTAATACATAAATATTGCAATTCTGTATCAATATTATTACCACAATATTTAATAGAATTCAATAACATTTAATATCCGGGTTGAATGGTTTCTTAATACACGTTTCCTTAACTAATGGTACTATTACACTCTGTAGGAACTTACCTAGTTTGTTACATGTTTAATAGAGAAATGTATAGAACACTCGACGTTAGTTCATATTACACATGACTCGGTAATTGCTCTCAATAAAGTACAACCGCAAACTTTACTCTTTAAAATGTGAAGAATGATAAGGAATTTTGCTATATTTGACAAAGGAAAAGGGGCTCAAATTTATTGATCGTCTATGAAGTTACTGCAAACAGTAACTTAATTCTTTTTAATTTTTACTTCTCCTCAAGTTGTAAACCTCAAGTCCGGCAAGTCAGTCACAAAACTGTGGAATATCCCGAAAAATACGCTTGGAATTTAAAATATGTTGATGCCGTGACACAATTTTTATTTTTTTCACACAATTTTTAAATCAAGATTTTATCCAATTCTTACAGACTCGCAGCGATAAATCTAAAATCCTGTGGCAATTCTTTAATTGATTTAAACGACTTTCAGTTACAATAACCGAGATATATAATTTTTCAAATAAAATTTTCCATGACTCGAAAAATGTTTCATATGAAAGGACGATTATAAATTTTTCATCCAAGCGAGGCGAACCTAAATAAAAGTTAATCTATCATAATGTAAGCAACAAACCCAGCCATCGAATATGCTCTCGGCCAAGTTATCAACTTATTAATGATCACTTATCTGCTTGCAATATAACTTTAGTTTGAAATTAGTTTTCGAACATTTCGATCAAAAGTGTTTAAACTACATACATATATGAAAAATATGGTATCCGTACTTCCGTAATTGCCTGGTTATATTCCCGTACATTCGATGCCAACAAAGTTTTATATTTCTATACATATATATATTTTTATATTAAGCATTACGCTCTCAGAGATGGGAATAGTTGATTAAACTACAAACCTGAATCTTGAAATGTATGTATTTCCTATTTAATTTCCCATTTATGTAACCGATCGTTTCACTTTCCCAATTCCATTTTCCAATTTTTGATGTCGTTTAGTTGCAAATTCAGCCAAAACCAATTTAAATGGAATTTCTGTTGTTTGGCAAAGCGAATTTTAAATATTAGCAAATTTTATTGATTTCTGTAAATCTACTAGTGAAAACCGTAAAATTATTTCTAGCTTTGCGATCTGATGTAATGCAAAATCGTTTTTTATTTGCAACAAGAATTAATTTATTAATTATATTTAAGCCTAAGATTTGGGCTTATATTTGAGTACCTACAGAGTGCCAAAAAATGGACATCGGTGACGACGTTCCAAAATCAGCTTGAAATAAGATGTTAATACATGAAAAACATAACGTACTTCTTGTATGTAAGTTACTAACTTATTTTCCCATTTGGTATGTATATGTACGGGCTAGTAAAAAATGCCTAATACAAAAAACTCCAAAATTAATGATAGCAGCATTTTTTTGGAAATACATCAAACCTACAAATAAACGATTTGTGTTGTTTGAATAAAATACATTTTTTTCTTTAAAGCAAATTCTGATTACTTATGAAAATTGTATTGAAATTGTGATTAATATTTATTTCTTATAGCCTTTAGTTTAAATATTATTACGTTCCTGAAATGTTTTATAATAAAAAAACCCAAAATTAATACATTTGTACTAAAGGATCAGAATCTAGTTGAAAACTGATTTTTTTAGTCAAGATTTAAAATAAATCTAAGAAAAGTGAGTAAAGTTGTATTGTATGGACAAGAAAGGCTTGAATCAGTATTAAGCTTCTTAAACTTCTAAGAAGGTCGATGCTGCTAGGCTTGCAAACTTAAATGGGTTAAGGCAAATAATAATAATAGTACATACATAATACAAATAATAAATATGCTGTAAAAGACTAGAAAATTTTGCGTTTCCCACTATAAAAAAAGCTACAGTAGAGCTTTCTGGTGGAAATATATTTTGAGAATTTTATTAATTTGCAATTTAACATCGATTAACGTTTTCAGGTCGCATTATTACAAGTAATAGGAGAAAAATATAATTGATAGCAATTCCGTTTACACTTTTAAATAGATTCGGAATTCTCATTAACAAGTGGGATTCTGTTTTTTTGTCGTATTTTGGTATAAGACACTTTCGTCTAAATTTCACCAGTATCTTCTGGAACATTATCGATAGTTTTTTACGAACTTAAAAGAAAATAAGTTTGGTAACCAATACATCGGCAAAAAATATGATATTTTAACATAAAAGATTGCATTTCATGCCGGAAAGAGAAATTTATTAAAGTGTTTTTATATCAAAAACGAATTTCTGTGCTGAGCCTAAAAAGCCAGCAGTTAAAGAATCGTTGAATTTTCTTTTACATTTTCAAATTGTATGCAACTAGCAGTTTCCGCTTGGCGTAAATTCCCATAAATGCGACATATCGTATTTATCCGACTATGGAAGTAATACAAATTTGTAATTTAAAACATGTTATTATATTACAAAGTTGTCCTTCAACTTAACACGCTTTTGTAGCAACGTCTTTTGGGTCACAATATTCCTTTTTGTATCATGTTTCCATGTTCAAGAAAAATTTGCAGTTTTATTTTTTTAAATAATCCGATCGGGCTCATACCATGAATAAAAAGACCTAATTTTGCGCCTAGTAGTGCACTTTTTCCAATCTGTGGGGCTTTTGCAACATTTTTGTATTCTTCAATTTGCCATCAATATTTTAAGGGTATTAATAATTTAAGGGTAAATCCAAAAGCACCTGAAATTTTATTGCAAATCCTACATTCTTGTGCACGTCAAACACTCAGAACTTAGTCGAACTTAAAAAATGATATAAATATATTGTCTTTTATCGATCGTCTTTAGATACAGTTAATTTATTTTGTTGCAATTTGTTCCTGCTATTATCTGTATTGCTATGTTTCAGGTTAACTTAAGAGCTACTATTTCGAAAATTGTATTAATTTTAAAGCAATGACCGTTTAAACAGGAAATAGCTTCTTAGAAAAAGGTTTGGGCAGCTACGTAAATTGAGTAAAAAATAAATATTTCAACAAAAAGCTCCTTAATCACTGTGTTAGTATCAAGACATTTGCCCATTCGATAAATCCTAAGTTTCGTTCGATTTAAATCAGCGACTTTGCTAAATATCCGTTATGCGATCAGCGCCCCTTGATCTAATTTCCGCTCGAAAGTTCATAAATAATTTCTAATTAACTCGGAATCACCCTGCATTAACAACAAGTCGACGATTACGAGTTTTGTTCCCTGATTGAAAAACTCCAGATCGATTCTTGTTCCTGCTTAATGACGCCTTAACGTAATTAAGCAAGACCCACCATTCTCTTTCTTGATTGTTGGAAACACATTTTTAGATTCATTAGATGTGAATTGAGTTTTTCCATTGGGTGAATGTTTGAAATAGCAGTAAACTCTTGATCAATTCTTCCTAAATAAAATGGTATTAAATCTGAAATGGCTTGAAGTTGGAAAGTTGGACGCTCGAAAAATTATTCGACGAAAAAATAAAAGGATGTAAAAGGAAAGTTTTACCTCGTCCATTCTCTGAACTATTTGGCATCTCCAATGATCGAGACCGTTCAACGTTAGCCATTTTCCAAATATGGATTATTAAATATCGTGAAAATTGCAGAAGCCACAAGACAAACCCTCCCAAAAAATTTTGAACACGGTAGATCAGTAATGAAGCGCAACTATCGTTTTGAACTAAAGTTGATAAGCAACGATGCTTATCAACTTTAAAAAATTCATTAATTTTTTCTACTTCAAAGAAGTAGGTGTGTGTAAACATTTCCTTTCCCCCATGATTTCCCCATTTGAATGAATTGCTTTTTCTAGTGAAAATAGGAAATACCGTTTTTCTTTGGAATAGTGACTGTGCATAATACTGAAACCATTTTTCTTCTGTTTCAGTCATTCCAAGGTTCGCAGGGTCGGGCGTATTTATTTAATTCCGTGTAAGTATGTCTGCTTTTATGTTTAAAGTGGTACGTTAGAAAATGCACAAGGAAAACCCGAGCCATCAAATATGTATAGCATTTGACCCACTTTGGATTATGCAACTTCTTAAAATAACTGATTGTCGGGAAGCTGAAATACTTGCATTTGTTAATTAATAGCTACAAACTTTGCTGACTGAAATTGAGCGTTTGTTCTACTTGCATTCGGAATAAACTCATTATAGTGGTAATTATTGGGTTGGTTTAGTCTATTTCCAATTTGATTTGCAGAGTAAACGTCGGATGTGGACCGGCAGAGGAACGCGTTCTTCTTACAGGGCTACATGCGGTAGCTGATATATACTGTGAATGCTGTAAAACGACCTTAGGTTGGAAATATGTAAGTAAATATTGTAAATATTGTATGAAAAATGTTTTAGATATTTATTCAAAACATTGTCTTGAAAATATTCAATTGCTCTTTGACCCATAAGTTTGCGCAAAACAAGCCCGTGTTCAAAACAAGTAACTACAGTTTTGCGTGGCTCACTCAGCCATGAAGGGATGTATATTAGATCACTATGTAGATGTGAATATTAAAGCGAAAAATGTCTTCTTGCTAAAGACTTATACTGCCGGGGGGTATCCAGGTGTGTTAACTCGTTAGCATAATAAAATAAATTAATATAACAAAGAGGAACATTTTTATAAAGAAATTTACATTATATTTTGTGGCTTTCTGTATGCCAAAAACATGCTAATTTTCTGTGCGCAAGTAATATTTGCCAGAAAATAAGCTGCTTAACCAAATGAACATTTGACATACAAATTTGGAACTAGATAAATTCTGATTGCTTCAAGAGATTTGCCTTCTGTTTGAAGCTTTATTGAGCCCGATTTGCTTTTTGTTAGTCTATAGTTCTGAAAAAATGCAAAATTGCGCAAAATTCGGCAAGTTGCTTATTGGACGGACAAAAAAGTTTTTTGATCTCAAAACAAAAAGTTTAAAGATTAGCCAAATAGTTCAAATCGGTTTTTTGATTTTTTCGTACATCTGTTATATTTACAGGGTGGTTGCAAAAAATCTACTTTTCTTTTCCGCAACGACAACTTTTCTGCTCTTGGTCCGACACTTCATAGACGGGTTAAGACGAAAATTCTATTATAGGGCTGCACAAAAAATTACCCAAATCAGAATTGCCCCCGAAGACTGTGATTCTGGAAGATTTGCAACTAGGTGAAATGAAAGTGAACTTTAAAATATTTCGTTTATTCATCATGCAAGCCGATATATTGAAACGAACTCTGTGGCTCAAATGGTTCTTGAGCAACGTCAAAAAAGGCGGCGTCATGTTTCAGTCGATTTCGCAATTTAAAAATACTCTTGACTTTTTCTTAACAAAAAACATGAAATTGGAATCCACATTTGCATATCTGAAACAGTTCTTTGGAGACAAGTTTCAATGAGCTTGATGTAAAAATACGAAGCCGCCCAAAATATTACCAAAGTATAAAAATTTCTTGTGAAGGAATCAATGGTTTAATCGGAACCAAATCCACACTATCAGTAAGGTAATATTTCTTGTATTGAATACTGGAACCCAAATTTCCATATCTGAAGCAGGTCCTTAGCGAAAAGCTTCAGATAAGCTTGATATAAAAAATACGAAGCCGCCGTATTCCCAATATATTCCCAAAATATTTCCAAAGTTTAAGGATTAACTGCGAAAGAACCAGGAGCAAAGTAAATACTAAGCTTACCGAAAGTTGCGTAGTGGCACCTTGAACGAAAGAAGAAAATGTGTTTAATACAGCAGGAAATCTGTCCAAAGCCAAATTATTTGAAATCAGCAAAGCAGAGAGATAAATAAAAAGAATCCATAAAACTTCAGTTGATTGTCGGAAAACTAAACTCAGTTCAACCTTAAAGATTTATAGATTAGAGGTCACTCTTACCAGCTTTTTCAAGCTGGCGCCCCATCCTCAATTTTCTACCCATAAATCCTCAAGAAGTTCACTACATTTTCACAAACTACCGCACTTGCCATAAGGGCCACAATGATTCCATATTTCCCATATAAGAATGCGATTTTGGACTCGTTTCGTCCACTGTCGGTAGCAAACTGAACACCGAGAAAAGACACCGAACTACAGAATAAACATGATTTTATCATTTAATTGTTCGCCCTTTCGATGATTCATGCTTTACTTGGCAGTTCGATTTCAGTTTGTCTATTGTTGACATTTTTGTAGAAAGTGCCTGTTCTCACTGCAATATTTCCAAAGGAAAATTTCACGTTCCAACTTTACGAAAGTCCACAACTAAACGAAAAACGCCCCAAGCGCTGATCTTTCACCAATTTAATTTTAAATTTTGAGCCATTTATATTTGTCTGAATTTCACTCAGCTGCAGTGATTAATGCACAACCCCAAAACTAAAATTAATAACCGAATTAATTTTGTTGTTCTAAAAATATTGAATACACAAAAATACCGAGAAGACAGCACTTAAAAATAAAACTGTTGCTCAATTTCCAAGTGGTGATAGAAACCAATGAAATTTCAACGAATTAAAAATGTCCGTTCAGGTTTCTGATTTCAAGAATTATTAATTATTAAGCGCAATTCGAGGTGCGGCGCAGTGAGGCGCGATAAGTTATAACTCACCAACTCACAAAGCGGCATCAACTCAAAAGGGTAACTCAATACGGTGTTACCCAGGCCTAATCTTAAAGCTTGTGATGTTGAAATACAAAAAATTGTATTTTCCTCCAACACACGCAAAACTTTCATCAATTTTTCATTGTTCACTTGCCACCCTGTAGAAACTTTACCTGGCACACTAATTTTTTGAAAAACCCCGCACTAATTGAAAAAGAATTGCACTAATGTTTGAAACAGACACAATTCGCTCTAAGAATTCAGAATTTATCCAGCTCCAAAGTCAGTCCAAATTTGTCGGTGTAACGTTAATTTTATTGAACAGTTTAGTTCAAATTGAGTGATTAATTCCTAGTTCCTAATTCCCGACCAATTTTTAATGATTAATTCCTTCAAAAAAGCAGTATGGCAATGACTGCAATAGCTTATAGGGTTTTATCATTTAACTAGCAAACACAATCCAGTAGTTTAAGCTTTAAATTGAAAAAATCGTTGATTTTCTGCATTGTTCGAAAAATTATATCTAACCGCTCGTGAGCGGCGTCTAAAGAAGAAAAATGTATGAAAGGGTTTTAATTTAGACCAACATATTGTGAAGTGGTTGACAAAATATTTTAGTAGCAAAAAGGCTTTTATCAGAATCGTTATTACATGTTTGGTTCTGCAGAATTTGGAAAATTTCATTTCGAAACTGCAAATGCCAAAGACACCAGCAGGGACTACTATAATATTGAGAATAAAGGCATTCAGAATGTACAGGAACGTACAGATGAGCAAACTCAATATTACAGTAATTTTCTTCGCATTTCTTCATGCTCGGCTTATTCGTACCAGTAACAGTTTAGTGAAGTTTTGTTGCTTCCAGTCTTTTAGATATTATGCCCTTTTGCAATTGCTTCAATAAAAAATATATTTAAATTAATTGTTAGAATCAGGACTCTTATAGGATACATAAAAATTTAATATTTTTGTTAAAAGTTCCACAGAAATTTAATTTAATTTTCCATTATAAATGCAAATATTTTTTCAAATGAGTTTTAACTTTCAGTTAGGTTTTAAAATTATCAAACACAATTATACATTAACATCATTTATATAACTGATGAAATTTGAAAGTTTTAATTTATACTATATGAATTTCTGCTTTTTGCGCGTTTTATTTAATCTTTCATGCTTTGACATAATTAAAAATGAAATCATAATGCGGTGTGCAACACATTATATACAAACATTAAATTGGAATCAGTCTGACAATAAAACGCAAAACGCACTTTAAATTTGCAAAGTTGAAAAACAAATTATAAACAATCAATAATGAAACGAAGGAAAGATAAAACAATCCCATTTCATTTTATCCTTTTTCATATAAATAAATTGCTACATTTCCAAGTTGTTGTGGCTTATTTATTTATTTTAATTGGAAAATATGTTTATCGATATTCAACTACATATTTAGAAATATTATGGCTATGGTCTATTCAAAGGTTAAGAAACAAGGTTAACATAAATTTTGTATAATATTTATATAATTGTTTTCGCTAAAATTGTGATTGATCTGAAACTCAAAATCAAACTCTCAGGCTTGATTTTAATGCAGTCGCATACGACGATTAATAAATAAGGATTAGAAATTACTTTTATTTCAATTTCAGTAATGAGTATTTCCTTGTTTGGTGCACGAAAAACTTGAAAATATTTCGAACAATCGCACAGTGATTTACGTACTCAAATATGTACATACAAAAATTAATTATTTATTATAATTTAATTAACGCATATGTATAGTTGTTTTTAATCGTTCAAATCATTGTGGTTTAAAGAACGTGTAATTGTTATTCTCATTTTTAAGGCCCAAAACTTTCTTGCTAACCGTTCTTAAAAAAAAATTAAGGCTCTGTACAATTGAGAGACTCATCCGTCTCTTGTAAAGTAAAAGCTGTAGGTATTGAACGAGCTGTGGCTCTGACCGATGGATGACTTATTTTTGGTAAATTTTAGTTTCAATAAGTAATTGCGTGCAAATTTGTAAAAAAGAAGAAAAGCATGCATTTTTACGCGTGAAAGGCATTTTAAACAATTTATTAACATTCTTTATCTGAATTATCACTGATTCGATGCTGTTGCTTGCTGAACGGTTTAGAAAAGACTAGCAATATGTCTAACCATCAATATTTGGGAAAATTTTAATTACTTTGTTTGCATTTTTTTGTTATTTATTAAGAAATGTTTTATTATTTATACAGGGTTATTCACGCTAAACGGCACGGACGTTTGCGGCTAGCCCGTTTGTTTTTTGCAAAGTATTATTTGATGAATCTACAGACGCCTATCGGGTGCACATTTTAAAAATATTTTTGTAATAGTACATTATCTTAGTACAGAGTGTCCCAAAAGCCCTAAAAGTATCAAAGTTGTGTTTTTCTAAATGAAATACCCTATATATTATTGCATTTTTGGATTCTCTGAGCAA